ATCTATCATTTCTCGTTCCTAAGTTGTGCATCATAAATGAAACAAAGTGGACACTGGACAGACTGTGGAAAAACTTTTTTGTTGAAATTGGCAGCGACCGGATCCTGATGAGGAACTGCACACAAAAAGTCACTTCACCTTTCTTTCTGCTTTGTGTTCTGCCTGCAGGTGGGGAAACCTACAGCCGTGACCAGAGAGCCCTACGAAGGCAAAGTCATTTCCATATGAACGACTGACCGAGAACATGCAAGCTGAGCTCCTGCTGTGTGTCTCCAGAAGATGTCCAAGCCAAAACAACTGAGCCCTGTCTCACTGATGAACCTGCTCTGAGTGGTTTAAAATATGGTCTTTAAAATATTTCTGCGAGTCACAAATACATTATTCAGTCATTTAAATCACTGTGTGCGGTAAAGGTGGGGGTGTTGGCCTTTGGGTCAACCCTGATCAGCACTATGTCCTGTTGGCAGATAATACCTTTGTTATATTTGCTCAACTGTGTGAGGTTTCCAGGTCAGCTCTGCTCGGTACGCAGGTCAGTGGATCCCTATCTGCTGCTGAAAATCATATTTGCTCTAACATGCATTATGCAATCAAGTAATTCACTGTAAGGAATTAAAATACGGCTTATGCATGATTTCATGGTTTAAAACCGGTGGTGATTAGAAAAGAGGATCGTTTATATTTGTGCATATTGTGTTATAAATGATATATATTTCTGTAATATATAAAAATAACAAAATTCCCGTAACCTTAATTGCCAATTTGCCTGGTTGTTTTTCTGAGCATTCATTTTCCTCTTTCCTCTTTTTCCGAAATGTTTGTTGCCATTGGTAACAGGACTGATGTTTCTCACCCAAAAGCATCCGTCCCTTTGATGAAATATTCATTAAAAATGCACTGACATGCGTGAAAGTATTAAGATTTACTTTGTTGACCCAGATTGACTCAGTATTTGCATATTCAGCAGGATCACACATTATCATATGCGCTCCATCTATGCCCATGTATGGACTGCACTCATTCCTTCCTCGGTAAAAAAGGTCTGTGGCTGTCACCGCGCATCATGTGGCGGCTTCCTATTGGGCTGGCATGCTGGCGTGGTATTATGCCACGGGGCCAGTTGAGACATAATGTGAGCTTATCAGGTTGCCACACGGGTCAGTGGCAGCGTGTGAGTCACAGAAGGCCTACTCATGCTTGAGCTGTACCACTTCCTCTTTTCCTCTTGTCTCTGGCAGTGGAAGGATGGTGTGGGGCTGGCAGTATTGGACTGAGTGTCTGTGATGAAATGTGTACCCTCCTGGATTTAAACCAGTCTCTAGATAATAACTGCAGTTCATAGAAGTTAATAACAAGGAAAAATACAGGATTTTTTTTTTTTAAGTTTCAACTTAAAAGATTTAGGCCATTGCCATTTAAAAAAAATATATATATTTAAAATATTGTATTTTAAAATTACACTTTACAAGCTGTGGTCTACTCATCAAGAGAAGTTTGGGGTTCAGTGTCCTGACTGAAGAAAATATGATCTAAACACATTCACTCTTGGAAACTAATTTTATAATGCCACAGTGGAATTGTGGGAACTGTGAGATTGTAATATAGAACACAATAACACCGGTAGCAATGCAGGGACACATAAAATGCGACTTTTGACCATGAGTTGGTCGCCCTGTGTATGTTAAACACCCTCCTCTGGATGCTGCGATGGAAGTACATTTTTTATTGGTCAAAATCTGAAATTAAAAATCTTAGACTACAGGAATAAATCAAAAAAAAATTTACAGTTGGAATAAAGATATATGTATGTACATTCAGTTAACGAGAGCAATGTTATTCTTTGGAGGCCAGTTGACTGAAAACTTGTGGAGGAATTTAAAGTGTACATAAAGTAAGAAAACAGTACTGCAAGGTTTAAAAAAAAATAGTACCACTGGGTTTGTAAATTGTAAATAATGGCTTTATTAAGAGTTAATTGATTTTTTTATTTTATGTATTTTTTCATTCCTAATACCACTAACTGTAGATCAGTTATGGACATATAATGAGAACAGTGGTTTGGTTGCCAGATGAATCTAGATTATCTCAAATTATCTATTTGGTAATAATATTTGTAATACATAAATAAATACTTTTTAATAAATCATCAAGAATCTTTCATAACCGAGCAACTCAGACATTGTTCTTATGAATCTGTAACTAATCTATGAAGCATTAGTAAAGTATTTACCAGCCCTTAATCTATTAGTTACAATTTGTAAATACTTTATAAAGAGTTCCTAATCAGAAGGTTGCACTAAAGTAAGGCAACAGCTCTTCACCTGTACTTACTGTAAAATAAAACTTCAAACTGAACTCCAGCACTGCTCATCCTGCCTGTCAGCTTCTCTGGGTCACATGACACCCTGTACTAGGTTAGAACAATAACACCTGTGAGATATTAATTAACAATGACAGTTTGTAAACGGGAAGAGGACAGTGCTGTTCACGGCACATGTAGAAGACATCTGTCTTTGATTATGTAAGGAAATACTTCTGCTGTACTCTGCAGGGGAGCATTAGAGGGAAAATACCAAAGCCTTCCTCTGTTTTAGTTTATTAGAAGCTGTTGGTGATTAGTCTTACAGAAATACAGTTAAGTGCTAATTAATAATAGGATTCACAAACTTAACTTTGGAACAAAAAAAAGATGTCTATTTCAACACCCAAAAGCCTGAAACATTCACAGTATTTAATATATTGTTAATATATTTTGTTCGTTGTCATGATTTTGGCCTCTAATCTAAATAGCCTACTGTATATTCTGTTATCTGGTGGATTATACAGTTTGGGGAGATAATCATAGAACATTGTCATCTGCCATGTTACATAATGAACATGATGTAATATGTATGTAATGTCTCTGTCAAGGGAAAATGATATTTCTAGTTGAGGTGCTAATTGAAGCTAAAGTGAATTGAATAAGAACCTCCACATTTATGGTCTGTCGGCTATTATCTGGGAGAGTGTTCCTCCTATAAACCATTCTCCATGGTTACCATTGCTGTCAACTGACAGTCCAACCTGTTATGTAATGTGATATAACCTAATGAAGTACAGTAGTATACCGAATTACAATGATACAGTACAGGTAGAGGATTATAGACAAGCAATGGGACACAGTGTTTGAGCAGCATGTAATTATAATTAAAAATATTCACTGCAGTGTACAAGAGAATATAGTACAAAAACATTGAGTCCACAGCCGAGCTATAGTGTTTAGCGTGTTCACCATCTTAGCAAGGCGTGTTGTTATGCTACCATTCACTAATGAACACTAAACACAAAGTACAAATGAGTCTAGCATTTGATCCTAAACCAAAGGCCAAGGAACACGAGTTATTACAATTCATCTTGATAGACCAAATTTAACAGCAGTAGTTGTTGAGACATTTCACTTTGAACCACTGATGTAAACCTCAGAGCTGAAAAGTCAGGGTAAACGATCCTTTCACTTGTAATGAGAATGACTGGCAATCCAAGCTGTAACTCTAACACAAAGAGTGCTTGTGTGTATTTGAAAAAAAAGTAATGACATGAGGTAATGAAAGTGAAGGCTGGCTGGCAGTGGAGCTATCGCAGACATATAGGCTCCATGAGTGTCCAGCCCGAGTGGTGTTTATCACAGATGTTCTCATCCATTTTTTGTTGTTTGTGTTTGGGCTAAAAAGAAAACAAATCTGCAGGTAGATGACTGAGACAAGGAGAGTGTAGCCTCTCTTAGTTCAACTGTTGCTCATCAAAGTCACCAACTGTCCTTCTGCTACGTATGAGCACTTAACACGCATGGGCCTATGAGTTAAATGAAAAGCCCCACCCACTACCAGTCAGCCATAACATTAATTAGTAATTAAGATTTTTAGATTGTCTATGCTGGTCAGTCATTTTCAATCAGTCCGGTGTGTATCTGGGTTATTTTTCACCCCACCCCAGTAATAAATACAGTACAATTACAGTAACTCACTGTTTTACAGTAAACTTCCTCTTACAGATTGAGAACTCTTCCAGTAAACTGGTGTTATGACAGATACATGTACTACTGTAGGTGGTGGCTGTCTCTTTTTGGTTAGTCCTGCAGAATGTCCGCGTCTATTACCAACCACATCCTGTTATGTTATGTTACTATTAAAATGCCATCTGAAACAATGAGTCAAATTAACAAGAAGCGCAATGAGTATTTTATTCCAGACCTCCCTCTGTAGTGTTAGAGTGATAGTTCAGGTTATTTGACTTGGGGTTGTGTGAGGTACTTATACATACTCAGTGTATTACCTGCGGTAGATACGGATTGGTGCCCTCTCAAGTTTAGAGAAGCAGTGGGGAGCGCTAGCACCCAAGATGAGCGATGTACTGCTGTGGACACACCTATGGACACACCTATGGTGCACCATGTATTACTCCGCAGGTAAGTAGGTAGGTACACTTCTGCACAGGAATACAGTAGTTCAGTGGTTGAGAAAAGTAGTTCCAAAGGAATGGGCTGTTTGACGGAAAAATAAAGCGGTGAAGATATTCAAAATGTAGCGTACTCCCAGCTGCTTCTCTAGAGGACGCTGATCCGAATCTACTGCAGGTAATGCATTGATCCAGTCCAAATGGCAATTAATAATTTAGGCAACAGCTCAACTGTGGATGAGTGAAAACTTTACCTACTGGTGTTGGTAGAAAAAAAGCCAGATGATCACCAAATGATTAGGATCCATTGCTGCACACCATGAATGGGACCTGTACCATATGCCATGGCAATCTGTCCTATAGTTGTTGAGAAATATCACTAAAAAACAAAAATGTCAATCTCATGGTGGCACAAGGGGAAAAGTCAGGGTATCACAAAAGTCAGTGTCATCATGAGGGTACAAAACTTCATGCATCCAGTAGTTGTTGGTCTGAAGACCGTCGATGCCATTACTAGAGTCTCTAATAGTAGCTAAAAAATTCACATAGAAGAAAGAATCATTTCCTCACACGACACCTTGTGGATCCTCTTTGGGTCGAAAAAGCAGCGGGCACCAGAAATGTGGCTGATAAGAGAAGAGAAGACAAACTAAAAGATTAGAGACGACACTAACAGCCTTTATTATTCTCTACCAATATGTGGTTATACAAACCTTAACAATCAACGATGTGAGGCTGCAGGTGTTTTTATTCTTCTTCCCTTTTAATCTCTTCCGGAGGATTTTGGCATGGAGGTACTCCACTCTCCCCTCCGCAGCGCTGGAGAAGAATCGCTCAGAGACCATCAGCCTCAGCTGGGACATTTTGGCCGCCATCAGGGCCATGACGACCAAGGTGACCAGGATGACGGCCAATGGAAATATGGAGTTATAGAAGAGCAGCTTGGGTTTAGGGAGGCACTTCTTTTCAAACAAGGTCACAGAGTAGGAAAAGTCTTTGTGATGGATTTCCTCACTGAATGGTAAACCAATTACAGCCACAATCCCCTGAAAGGATACACGAATGAGTGGTCAGTGGCTGTCTGACAGAAATGAATCAGGTAAATTCTTAAAATACTTTCACAAACACACTTACTTTGATGCTCATTAACAACGGGACATGAAACGGTTCCAGCTCTGCTAATTTTGTTGTTACAATATCCACAAAGCAGTACAATAAGGCATCCACAGTTATAAATATGACCCAAACTACAAAATGAACGACAACTGAAACACCGAACTTCAGTACAACTTTGCCCTCTCTGGTGGTGGGTCGGGCGGAGGGGATGGCGGTGTACAGCTTCCCTTCCTCCGGTGTGAGGGGGAGGATGTGAGGTTTTCCTTCCTCCCTCTGCTTCTCGTCAAAACGAACAAATTTGCTGCCGATGAACCTGTTTTCGTATTTCATGTCACTGCAGTACTTTTTTATGTGCAAGGCTATGAAGGTCATGAGCACGAGGAAGCTGATGGCGGGAAACAGCCTGTCGGTCACAGTGGAGAACGTACTCACAAGGGAATGTGCATATTTCACAGTCTCGTCCAGCCTCTGCTCTGCTTCACTGAGTTTCTCCCTGAATTTTTCTGATTCCAGTTTGAGTGAAATCTTGAGCTGGGAGTCAACGTTCACCACTCCCAGGTCTGTAACCCCTTTAAGGATGCTTCCTATCCACTTCAACATCTTGACGTAGTTACTGAATGGAGTGATGATGGCTGATTTCTTCGCCTTCAGGTTGCAGATCATACTCCTGAGGAGGCCTGTGAGGTTCTCCAAGGTGTTATCGATATTTTTAAGAACAACAAGGCTGGTCCCAGCAGTGAGCAGCAAGTTGCGACTCTTCTTCATGAAAATGGAGATGACAAATAGGGTCCCTAAGCATCGTACCCTCTTTGATAAGAAGAGGGCGACGGTGAGTAATGTCCCAAAGCAGCCAGCAATCCCTCCAGCCACTGCTGTCTCATAGTCCAGGTGGAAGAGCAGGTAGAGAAGGAGCAGGGCGCTGAGCAGGAGGCTGGAGAAGCTACAGGTCAGGAGGAGGAGGACAGTTCTCTGAAAGCCGTCCCTTTTACCCGTCGTGAAAACATCCACGGCCTGAAAACCAACATCTTCAAGGCTCTGTTTTACTGCAGTCCATGAGAGTAGCATGTTGGGTGTCAAAGGAGAAACTGTTGGAAAACACTGAAATCTGGAAAGCAAATTTGGAAAGAAAGGGGAAGTTAAAAAGACATATAATAAGAAATAAACAGTGTGAACTGTTACACAGTGAAATTTAAATCATAAAAGGTACATGTTGAATTTCAGAAGGCTGTACATTTAAGCTTTAGTTTAATGAAATCACAAGAACAAACCTGCTGCATACATCAGGGTGTCTAGTCTTATGCATGTAGTCTGCAGTCTCCTTAAATACGGCTAAAACAGGAACTCCTCTCAATCCTCAGTCATTTGTCATTTCCCAGTCATCCCTATTTTTTAACCAAAAGCAGAAGCAAACATGGGCTGATATGAGGCTGAATTCTGACAGTGTGAGACACTTGATTGTGCTTTTGGTCTAAAATTCAAGTATTTTATTCAGGATTGCAAGGCTGCACGCCATTAAGTACAGATTACTTAGTGTATACCAAATTCAAACAACAGCAAACTTGATAAATGCTATACAATACTATTTGGAGTAGGTGGCTATAAAACAGCAATATGGAAACATGGGTCAGGATTTGTAATTTTTGTAATACATTATTATAATATTGTCATACTGTAAGATGTAATAATCAAGGTTTAATTTATGGAGAGACAGCTGCTTTCTATGAATTCAGGTCAGAAGTTTTAAAAGGGGAAATAGTCATTTGATGTTGACAGCAGGGTTTTGACGTCAGGAGCTTCACCATGAAAAGCTCCTTTTTAGGCGAGTTGGTGTGCAGGTTTTATTAGAGGCGTGTGAAACTGTCACATACAGTCAATTTAACAACATACACAGAAATAATATATAATATATGTCATATTAATGTCTATCTTCCCATTCTGGGAAAGTGGTCTCAGGCTTTTGGATTGGATTTACATAACATCTGTCTACAATATGAGCATACATACAGAAACTTACATATGGTCTAGACATATATGTCATATATGAAAATTGTTTCCATTTCTAATCGATTTTAAATAGAATTTTTACATATATATTTTTATTTTATATGTACATATATTTCATACATGGAAATTCAATATGTGTAAATGTTGAATTTGTGTATGGGAAAGGCGAAAGTTGTAGAGTTCAAACAAAAAAATCTTTGAAGACATCATTTATGTATAATTTTACTCCACTGGAACACAAATGACCTCAACTATTGTATGTTAACACTGACAGTGAAAATGATGGCTCAGTCTGTAAGTTGGTAACTCCACCACTTCAGCCTGCACTGAAATATCTTAGTATACTGGATGGATTGCCAGAGTTAGCACATGTTAGCATGCTAACACTCTAAACTAAGATGTGACAATGGTAAACATTATTATGGAATAGCATTTTGATTATGCCTTCCATACATTATACCTGCTTAACATAAAGACATTAGAATTGTCATTGTAAGCATGTTAACATGCTGATATTAGCATTTAGCTCCAGCACCACTGTGCTTAAGCACAAGCTGCTAGCACAGCTGTAAATTTAAGTCATGTTATTCTAACAATTTTTGTCAAAGAGAAGTGATTAAAAAGTTAATGAATAGTTAATAACAATGTCCTTACATATGGGGTAATAACAAAACCAGTGAACCCTTTGCAAATTTGATATACAACCTCACCTGTCTGCAAAGTTCTTCTGGACCGACACAAATGCAGACTAGCTAATTAGCTTAGCTAACTAGGAACAAGCTGGTAACCAGGTAACCAGGTAACTTACTTTCTGCTAGAAATAAGAGAGGTATGCTTCACAATCTTACTGTTTTCATTTTCCATTAAAGGGCCGTTTTAATTTTATACCAGTTTTACATATGAAGCTCAGGTTAGTGGTGACGGGGAATTACTTTACTCTTGTGAGAACGGTTACAAAATCTCTTCTGTGACTCTTGGAGATTTCAAAATTAAATTTCAACCTTCTCAGCAACCTTCTTTTTGTGTGTTCATCTCATCACCCAACACTTGGCATCAGTGTAATATCATTTTTTATTTTTAATTTGAAAAATAACTTACATAAATCTCTGTACTCAACCATACTTAACCAAGACATAGCCTTGGCATTAACACATTGCACCAAAAAGAGAAAATTAAAAGGCATTCAAAAGGATAAATAACATATGTCTTTGTCATCATGTGAGGCATTCTTCCTGTTCCAAAAGAGTCTATCAATCTATTCATGGTAGCTTGTTTATTCAAATTCTGACATCTAAATGTATGTACAATGAAAATTGAAATGAAAATATATGCTGTAGCCTGTGACAGCGACAAGGTTTTCTTGGAGATTAAAACGCATTATCTTCATGTGGAAAAGGAATAATGCCTCAATGCCTCAATTTCATTCAGACATACTGCAACTATAAGATTCATATACCTCCCAGACATGAGAAGTATTTTCAATTACTAAAAATAGAAAATAAAAAATAAACTGGTCTTGGCTTTTAAATAAAACTAACAAAAATATAGTAAATTAATTTCATTTTCATTAAAACAAGAAAAAAACATTTTCTGTGGCAATATCCCTTGTTATTTGAACTTGTGATTAGCTCATCTTCACAAACAATGCCTGTAAAATTGAACCATAGCAACACACATCTTTTGCATGTTTGCTGCCTCTTGATTAGGTATAGACCTCTTGCTGTACCAATACAGATTATTTTTGCATGTTCGTCAACAATACTGGAATAAAATACACTTGCAATCACAACTGTTTCGTAAACCTCCATTAAATATAAAATATTTTCCTTGTCACTTTTTTTTTCTCAAAAACCTGAAAGAAAATATGACTTTGGGGGTGGAATGTTTTTGTTAAAACTTCAATAACTGGCCGTGGAAGACCAAGAACTAATTTGCTGTAGAGTTCAATTTAAGGGGGAGGGAGAAAAGTAATGAAGTTGACATGCACTGTACAAGAAACTGCAAAAATTCCAAATATCATCTTTATCAAAACATGCTGAGTTACTGTAAGGTGTGCCCAAGCCATGTTGCAGAAAATCCTTTTCAACATGCTTGTTAAACAAATCAAATCCAAAATAAAATACATACTGAAACAATACAGAACTGTAAAATAACCAACAGTCCTAAAATCTGGACAATATCAGGGGACTGAACAATGGTAGCAATGAATAGTACAATGAGAGGTACCCTGGGACAAGGAAGAAAGAGAAACATGTACAATTTGCACATAATGTTTATCTTTATAAGGCCTGAGCCTTTTTACAATGAAATAAATAATTTACATTTATTTTCATTATCACTTTTTGTCACATAAACATTTTCTGTTAAATAACTCCAAAAGTTTCCTTTAAGTTTCCCTTATCTGCATGTCTGCAAAACACAGACTCACGAATGGTCTAAAGAATGATAAACGATGTCTTCTTTTTTTTTTAATCACGATGTTGCATTCACTCCCCTTGAAAACCATGCACTAGTGAAATTTATCTTTAAAAATAATATAAATTGTTGAAAATGGCTGATCTGTTTTATTTATTTTTCATCTTTTTTGCAAGTTGCAGCCTCAAGAAAATAATTTTCTTTTTTTTTTTATTCAGCTAAATTTGTGTCCATGCAAATCAACTAAAAAGGAAAAAAAATATTTTTTCTCTTTTAATTTTCATACAATATATCAACAGAGAAAGAATGATGGTAGATTGTACATCTTTTCATGGGGTTTGGGTCGTTATTGTTTATTCTGGAGTGTTGATGGTAGCCACTTCAATATATTGCCTCTGATTAATGTTGACGTCTTTTTGGTGATTTACCAGTACGGTTTGATTCAGTACATAAACCTGGAGTATGTGGGGCATTTCTTTCGGGTTTTGGGGGAGTGTGGACACAAGCTGGGACACACCTCACCCAAAGTGATGGTCTCCAAAACTCCATCTACACAGCTAGGTCTGTTGGCGTGGCGTGACCAAGCATATGGTTAGAAACACTATCACCCCCTTCAGATACAAGTACACTGACATTTAAAGAAAAAAACAAAACAAATGAAAAAAAAAAAAAAAAAAAAAAAAAAAAAAAAAAAAATCAAAGCAAAACATTTATTTTTCATTCGAAAAGGGCTTCTGTAGAACTCGTTTAGCGGTTCCCAGTACTGACCCCCATGGCTTCGAATTGGATGAAAACCTGGAACTGACAGATTCCTCGTGCTAAGGAGTTCATTCCAGCTTCCTCCAAACAACAACAACAACACCAGGCAATCCCGGCCGCCAGGCGCTTGCAACACGCTTCGCCATGTGCACAATGTGCGCGACGTTTTTGCTCAAAACACAGGATCACGTTTGCACCCCTAGAAACAGGCTCAGAAGACACAACATCAAGCATGCAGTGTAACCGGGGGGCGTGACCTGTAATCGCAACACTGGCTGCTACAACAACGCTATCAGTCCACACGCTGCTATGATCGAGAGAAACTGTCCAGTGAGGATTGGGAAGCTCTTCTTGTCAGTGGGGCCAGAGTAGGGTCCACCAGTGAGGAAGGAGGAAAGAGCTTGAACCAGCCAATCACCATGTTGGACAGGTCCAGCTCGTCTAACAGTATCTGAACTGCTCCCATGAATGATTTATGGTCCATACGTCCATAGTCTCCCCATACTATGACCTGCAGGGAGGAACACAGAAAAAAGAAACTCAGCTTTACTCCAAGTATAGATTTTGTGAAAATATGATGTTATACGAGAACTGACTGTGAGTTTCCACTTTAATTGCTGACTTAACTTACCTGTAAAACCTTTCCTCCCGGACTCTCCTCAAACGGCAGTTGCTGCTGGTAAAGAGGATCCAAGGTTTTTCTTGCTACTTTTGTTTTCTTTTTGGCTATGCAGACTCCGTTTTCCAAAAGGTAGACCTTGACATATGGTGCTGAGAGGACAGGAGAGGAGATGTTACAACTTATATTACTCACTATTTATTAACATTTTACTGCCTATAATAATGGGGTGAGAGCTGAAATTACCTGGCAGTGACTTGGAACCTGGTTTTCCCACAAGACCACGGGCTCTAATGACCTCTACCTCCAGTGCTCCTTTCTTCTCCACCATGCCTATCTGGATGTCACCTGAACAGCAAATATAATGATTAAATATTTTATAGTATATAAGGAACAAAATCACTCACAATTACCAAATTACCAAGTGAGTTTATTGAATGAAGGGATTCTTGTTCTCACCCATAGGTGGAGTAGCCAATGTCTGTCGTCCAACCAGCTGGGCAGGACCCAGACCATCCAGGAAGTCACTGAACTGGGCATCTGAGGAGAGCCGCACCCCAGGGAAGATGAGGCTGAAACAGAGAAACACACACACTTGTTACCACAGAAGTTAAGTAGGGTAGTGTAGATTAAAGACCATGCTTTAGGGCGAGAGGGTGGCTGTGATTATTAAATGTCAGAGGGATTAGAAAAAGTGAGATCTGATATGAGTAATCAAATTAAGTTTTGAAATGTTGGCCGTGTATGCTGTGTAACTGCTCCCAGTAAAACATGAGTAGGAGCTTTTTGATTGTCCTCAGTGCGAGTGTGAGTCCTCGTCTCCTTACTTTCCCTCGGAGCTGTAGCTGTTCATGCTGCCGTCCGTGGACTCCCGGCTCGCCTGCCGAGTCATCCTGCTCCTCATCTCCACCGCCAGGCCCGTCTCCGTACTCCTCTGGATAGTGCTGCGCAACTTCTTACCTCCTGCTTCTGCACACAGGTTGACACATGCAAAGAAAGAGAGAGGGAGAGAGAGAGAGAGGGATATAGACTGTCAATCCATGACACTGAATCACTTTGTGACTCATGCTGCGTTCAGTTGCCTTCACATGGATTATTTCTGACATCGCAGTGCTTTCATTGACTCATGAAAAATCATTCCACAGTGAAAACAAAAAGCAAGACAACACTGGATTACAATTCATCTCTACACCAAGACATGAGTGTAGTTTGCTCTGGGAAGGATCATAGTAATTTCACTGTGATAATCAAACAAAGTCACCAAATCAAGCTCTACACAACTGTGGCTCTTCGTGTATCTGTTGAGCAGAACAACATGTACAGACCTCCTCTGGTCTGTACTACCGACTGCCTACGGGGGTCTTGTGGGAACCGTATCGAGTCCACGCTCCACCTACAAACATCCCCACACCCCCACCCATCCTAACTGATCCCATATGACAGCTGACTTCCCCCATTAGCCCCGCTGCTGCTCATCTCCCTCACAGCCTGCGTGCGGGGTCACGTGGCTGCGCCTGTGGCAGACGTGCAACGTACCTACACACACAAGTATAGTATGAATGCTCCACTACTGAAATCACGCCTGGCGATCAGCACAAAAACAACAAACAAACACACACACACACACACACACAGCATCTCTACTATGTGTCATTTCATATCCCATTAAGAGAGAGATTAGAAAATTTGCCTTCACTCACTGCATCAAACAGCAAAGATGCTTAGGAGCTTAAAAGAGATTCAAACACTTCATATTCATCTATTAAGCTCTGTTAAACAGGTATCTAAAAAATGTGTGAAAATATGTGCTTATTCTCCAAGTTTTAAAAACATGATGGCTCTGGTGCAATCAAAGATTAATTATCCAAGATTATTATTATTTCTCCTATTAGAGTCATGGAATTTCTTCTTCCTCACCTGTAATCAAATTAATGCAAAGTGAGGGCAGTGTGTTATTTCCCAGAGGTCAGATCATCATTGCAAAGCCAGACAAAAGTAATAACACTAAGTTACCGTCAGTTCAGTGTTTGCAACCTCCAGGTGCAAAGTAATGACAAACAATTGGCCACCTATTCACAGATCTTAAGTAACCTTTACCTTCTATTTCCCCAGTTTGAACGGATGAATCATGTCTAGGCTACATCATTCCTAAACCAACATCATCACAGGACCTCTGTGGCGCCTGCTGTCTTCACTCTCCTTCCTCCCTGCTTCCTCGGCTTGTCAGAGGAGGAGCTGAGGAGAGGAGAGATGATCCTGTATCCTATCTCACACAGGCATAAACAGACATGAAGCCTTTCAGCCTTGGAATCTCAGTTATTCAGATGGCCTCCGCCTCCTCTTCCTGCTCTGCACACACGTTACAATAGGAGACGCAGCCACGGAGGTCGTCTCTGACGTCTGCAGTGAGACGCAGCTCATACACCTCTGCTGCCAATCAGCGGCCAGTCAGATGTTATCAATGAACACTGAGAACACACCATGTTCAGGCTAATGAATAACCCCCCCCCCCCTTTTGTGGCGCAATGTCACTGATATGCAGCCCTGTTACAGAATTATTACTGATGAATAGGTGATCTTATATAATTATTAATAATATGATACAACCAAAGACTGCAGACTTTTTTCTCACGCAAACTAATAGACCAAACCATAAACAAACCATGGCATAGACTTTCATTTAAAGGCAATGACTCTGACATACTGTTCCCATGTACAGCATACACACACGTAACTACTTTATCTACAAAAAAGTACACACACAACTGCATTATAAGTAATTAAAGGTAAAGTATTTGTCAGCAGCAGCCTGAGGCAGCAGTAGCCTAAAAGTTAGACAAACTGGCTCGACATCAAAAGGGTCACTGACCTCAAAATCTCCGCCCTGCCAGACAGGAAGAGACAATGAAGTTGCTGCTCAGCTGCCAGCAGTGGAAGTGTGTGTACAAGTGTGTGGAGTTGTAGCCATAAAAAAAAAAAAAAAGCTGGTGTGGTCTTCTGCTTTGCAAATCTATGAACTACTGTATTTGTCTGTAATTAAATCCCCTACCACTAGAATAGGAAGTGATTACACCACCTTATAAATATAAACACATACAGAAGGCGTCCTCACCACTGGTCAGGACATTTGAAGCGACAGTCATAGAACAATGAATGAACGGCTGCCCACAAGGTACTAAACAATGATTCATTGCAGTTACTAAATCCTCTCTTGCCATTCACAGTCACTTTTAGAAATCATCAAGAGGAGATGAGAGGTTGTTGAAACTAGGAAGTATCCACTAGCAGCAGGTAACAGCAAACAGACTGGTCCCATTAAGAATCCACACTAACAACACAACCACTGACGACAGCAGCAACAACAGAAGCAGTGGGTCTATTTCACAACAAACTGAGAGCATGGATAATAAACTGATTATTCTTGAGTTGCAGGCCATGATATCAACTTCCATTGTATCATATAAACAGTGTACACACAGCTCAACCATCATATTATTTTTGTAATTGAACTATCCTGCCATCCCAATTAAACTAATGACATCTTTCAACCTGTCCCAGTTCTCCCAACAATCAATACCTCTGTATCTTCCCACTAATCCTACATCCATCTCCCCCCTCACTGCCATCCCTCAGTTTAACCAGCAGCGCATGCTGTGACATTTCCCCTGTTGTCATCTTACCTCCGTCCTCCTCATCAAAGGAGTTCATGCAGGGGAAATAGACGGCCAGCGCTTCAAATGATGCAGACAGACTCATCTTGCTCTGGGAGCGTTGGATACGCATCCCATGAGCCGGAGCAGAGGTATCGTGCCCCTGCCTGCCCATGGTGACCAGCGGCTGTCCTTCTCAATGCGGTGAATTGAATCCACCAGACGTCAGCTGATATTACTGGTAAAGGTTTAAAAACCTGCTCAAATCTAATCTGATGAATTTGATAAATTCCTGAAGCCAGTAGTAGAGGACACTGCTATGCTATAGTAGATCAGGTCTGTGTTCTCATTTAGTTTGTCCCTAGATGCTCTGTAAAGTGCATCCTAAGCAGAGCTTCAGAAAAGCGTTGCTTCAGTAGCTGAGTCTTGTGCTGTCTGGGTCTGACGTTCCTGCTGCACCTCTTTCTTCAGGGGGGGAGGGGAGAGAGCTGCATTGCGCTCCACCAATCAGGGCGCCAGGCTGCTCAGGCGCACCTCGGCTGGCTCTGCGGGTGCACAAGCTCTACCCAGAGATACTGAGCCCCCCCTCCCCAGTCTGTTATTCACCACTCTTTTTTTTACCTCTTCTTTTATCACTTGCTTTTTCTTTTTTTCACACTCTTTTGTGCCATTTATCACAGTTATTTTCCTCTTCTCTCCATCCTCTGTCCCTCCATCCCTCCCTCTACTCATCTAATCCACAGGCGCCAGTGAAAACAAGCTGTCATTAGGTCTGCCAGCAGCCCTGCTGCAGCCACATGCTGGTCACTCAAAGTTCACGTGCCAAACTCTAACTCTAATTTACTCCTCCTTTTTTTCTTCTGTTACTACATTATCACGGCCGTGTTGTGTTGGGAGGAATTCACTTTGCTCATTCTGACTCTTTTTATAGCTGCTGAGAATAAGAAACCAAGTGGACCCTTCTACATCCTCTATTACACAGCTCTGTTGTGTTGTGTTTGCCTTGACCAATCACAAAGCACAGTTTCAAATAATCAGAAAAGCTCTTTGTTTGAATTAGTGTCAAACTCACCAAAACATTGACATTTTTTCACTCCATTTCTACCATTTGTGGAAACCTGAGGTCAGGATGTTTTAAACACTCCGGAGCTGAAACACACAGCAGCAGTGCTCAGGGAAGTGCTCTCTTCACTGGTGGTCCCTGAAATACTAATAAATCTGCTACTGGCATGACATGTGACAGCTAATACTAAACTTCTGTTCCTCTGGTAACTGTCACCACTGCAGCTTGGTAAAAAATCATGTGAAGCTGTGCTGCTTTGACATGTTGCTAGAGAAGAAACTGTGGTGCTTTTGTTCTGAATGTATCTGGCAGATTAGGCACAGGACAAGACGATTCTGGTGCACTATTATAAATATAGCAAGCTCCCTGTAGTGTTATCACTGAGACTAAAGTTCCTCTCTAAGAGACACTGCAACCTACTTCCATGAAGGAGCTGCTTCAAGCATGGCGGCAATTTGCAGGTTTCATCTAGGTCAGTACAGCCAAATAAAAACACTTCACATTTACAGCTAGAGGGAAACTGGACTAACACACACAGTTACAATACAACCAACTGGTGCAATTTCTTTATGAAAGCATAGGCCTATAATTCAAAGCTTTGGTTCAGTCAAACAGTGACATTAATCCACAGGATGTATTTATTTTAATGAATCAAAAAGCTAACTAATTTAAGGAGAAGTTATGTCTTTGTGTATTTTACAGGTTTTTAAACAGACTAGCGCTGTGGCTCCGGGGATGACAATGTCACTCTGTCGTTCTGATTGTCAGTCCATCACTTCGGTTTACACTGACATATTTGAGCAACTATTGGGTGAAAGTTTTGTGCATACAATGATGTTCCTAAGAGAGGATGAAGCCAGCTAACACTGGTGATGCCATGACTTTTCCTCTGACACCATGAGGTTGACGATTGTAGCTTTTAGTGACATGGCTTCATAACTGTTGGATGGATGAATTGTACTGACTTTGGTGATCCCTTATCTTTTTAATCTAGCACCATCATCAGGTCAAAATTTTAATTTGTCCAGTTCTTTGGTTTATGACCAAATCCATGCAAAACTAATGACATACACATCAGTGTACCTTCTGATTAGTGCTAAATAGCAAATGTTAGCACGCTAACATATATGGATATGGAGAGGGTAAACATTATGTGAACAATGCATTGATATTGTGAGCATTTTAGCATGCTGATGTTAGCATTTAGCTCAAAGCATTGCTGTACCATAGTCCAGCCTCACAACGCTGCTAGAATC